CGGGGTTGACTGAGGTAGTGACTAGGGAATGGAGGAGCCGGTGATGTCACTAGGTGGTAGGAGGTGAGCGAGTATTAGGTTACTCTCTAGGTGGGAACAGGGGCATGCTGGGAAGAAGGGTTTGTTCTTTGGTGGGAGCAACCATCTTGGCATGACATCACACAGTGGAAGGGGCAAGGCACCATAGGAAGAGGGCAGCTACTATACATAATAGCTGCTGAGGTGGTGGGAGACCTATCAGGTTTCTTTTATATGAGAAACCCATATTAAAAATAAAAGGCAAAATAAAAGATAATAGGAAGTAGGGAGACAGATCTTTTGCTAACGGGAAAGGAACCAAGAAATGGAGGGGAAAAGGGGATGAATAAAGGGAATTAAGATGTGTCATACATGTACTAACTCCCTACAAGCAATGTAATCATTATGCACTACAAGCATGTACTAATAAAAATAAAATTTGAAAAACAAAACAAAACTAAAAACCTCAAAACTGGCTAGAGAAATTGTGGTAAATACCAGGGATCAATGAAACTATTCAGATCTGTTCCCACTGCTAGGCAGAGTGATCTATTCCTTTTCATGTATAAGCTTTCTGTATTGACTTTTTTACAAATATGTATAACTATTTTCATTTAAAAAGTAATGTGTAGGGTCCGGGATTTAGCTCAGTGGTGCCACTGCCTGCCTCGTAAGTGGAAGGTCCTGAGTTCCATCCCTGGTACCCAAAAAAAAAAAAAAGTAATACTTTTTATTTTTTAAATAGGGATGCTTAAAATATAAGTCATGTGAATATCGACCACAGGATGTGAGCTATGAACCTGGGCCCAGAGGAGCACCACCAAGTTTCAGAGGGTAACTCAGGGAATTCTCATTAACCTCATGAAGAAAGTGAAGGTCAGGGGAAAAATTTGGGGAGACTCCAAACTAAGATTAAAAGCCTAGTTATGTATAAAAATTGTCAGTTTTTCAATTGAACCTGAGAAAATGATGCCCAGAATGAAGAAGTAAATGCCACTGGTGCTATGACGATCCTAAAGGTTCCTATTTTAATTTTACTGTGGATTAAAGCACTTTACAGTTTTTGAATTGGGGATTTAGCTCAGTGGCACTGCGTCTGCCTTGTAACCACAAAATCGAGCGGGGGGGGGGAAGAACAGCATGGAAAACTGTTAAGTTAGGAACTTGAAAGCGGTTAATACAGAATCATCACAGCAGCACTTTGGCAGCACATATACTAGAATCATCACAGGATTGACTAAAACGAGATTTAAAGCTATTTTCTGCAGACTTTATCAAAATTATCATCAGCATTTACTTTCCAAAGACATTTCTCAGCTATCAAAAACTATTTTGTCTGCTAATCTGATTCTCTTGTTCCTTTGAACTCTAGTTTTTCAGGAAAAATAGTCAATATTAAATGCCAATAAATATACTGCTCGAGAACAGAATTTCTATAGGAAAAACTATTGTCCTTCTATCCTCGTAAACTATCTTATCCTCATAAACTATCTTCATATTGGTCTTAAAAATCAATGTGGAGGGCTGGGGATTTAGCTCAGTGGTTTCGCCGCTTGCTGCGCAAGCTCAAGGACCCGAGTTCGATCTCTGGTACAAAAAAAAAAAAAATCAATTTGGAGGCCAGGGATTTAGCTCAGTGGTTCCACTGCCTGCCTCACAACCGCAAGGTCCAGAGTTCAATCCCCCATACCCCGTACCAAAAACAAAACAAAACAAACAAACAATTTGGAAGACTCACTTGTGGCTCAGTTTTGCTATCTCTATCTTGCCACTTTATTTACAGGTATATAACCAAAGGACAGTGGTGAAGATCTATGAAGATAACCCAGGTAAAATGTTGGAAGCTAACAGCTGATAAAACTAAAGGTTGAAAAAGATCACATTCCATCATGCTACTATCCCATGAGGAAAGGAAAGGGATATATGCACCTTGATCTCTTGTTGCCCATATTTATTTTCCCTTTCAGCCAGAAGCTCAGAGCTAAAATTTTGGCCATACATGATTACAGGAAATTTGTAGGTACAAATCTTGTAGGTACATATTGTCAGGTAAAAGGGCTGAAGACCAAGACCAGACCTGGCCACAACAAGCCTTTATTAGGGGAACAGATCTGCCGGGCTGTCTCTGAACAAAGGAGAGACAAAAGCAATATGGCCGGGGCAGGGAGAGTCTTTTATAGAGACTGGGGTGGGGTTTGTAGGGGCAGAGGTGGGGTTGAGTGAAGTAGTGACTAGGGAATGGAGGAGCCCATGAGGTCACTAGGTGGTAGGAGGTGAGTGAGTATTAGGTTACTCTCTAGGTGGGACCAGGGGCATGCTGGGAAGAAGGGTTTGTCCTTTGGTGGGAGCAACCATCTTGGCATGACGTCACACAGGGGAGGGGGCAAGGCACCATAGAAAGAGGGCAGCTAGGATACCTAACAGCTGCTGAGGTGGTGGGAGACCGATCACATATCTTATTTCATTTTCCCCCCACTGCCCTTCCCTCCTTTCACCCTTCTTCCTTTCCCATAACAGCTTTGTTTCCATTTTTTCCTTTCACTGTTTTCTTTATAAAAATCCCTTTTCTCTTCTTTCCCCTCCCTTGTTCCCCTTCCCATTTGAACATGTTCTTCATACTTCCCAATATCCATCCTCCGTTTTACTCATTTTCAGTTTCTCACACAAGAGAAACAAGGATATTTAAACTTGTGTGTCTGATTTATTTCACAAGGTACATCCACTTATCTAAAAATGTTTTTACCCTTTATGGCAGAGAAGTACTCCACAGTATGCAAAAATCATATTTTCTTTATCCATTCATCTGTTGATGGGCATATGGGCTGTTTGCAAGATTTTGATATTATAAATTGTGCTGCCATAAACATGGATATGCATACATCACTGTGGTATGATGCTTTTAACTCTTTTGGGAAGATCCCCAGAAGGGGACCAAGTGGGTCAAATGGAACCTCTAGCTTCAGTTTTTTGAGGAATCTCCATACTGTTTTCCATAGTGGTTGTACTAATAATTTACACTCCCAACAATGCAGAAAAGTTTCTTTTCCCCACAGCCTCACCAGTATTTGTTATTGGTTTCTGAATGGTAGACATTCTGAAGTGAGATGGAATCTCAGTGTTGTTCTAATTTGTTTCATGAATGACCAGTGATGTTGTGACGTTGAACACTTTTTCATGTATTTATGTTATTTGTCCCTCTTCATCTGAGAAGTGTCTATTCATTTTAGATGATCATTTCTTTATTGGGTCTTTAAATTTGGGGGGGGGTCTGATATTTTTGAGTTTGTTGTATCAAGGTATTAGATGTTTGTCTGAGGAGTAGCTGGCAAAAATTTTTTCCCATTCTGTGGATTGTCTCTTCACTCTGCTGGTGGTTTCTTTTGGTGAACAAAAGCTTTATGCGATCCCAATTGTTGACTGTCATATTTCCTGTGTGATCAAGGATTTGTTCATAAAATCTTTGCCCACACCTATGTCTTCTACCTATTCCATCTTCCAGCAGATTAAGTTTCTATTTTAATATTTAGATCTTTGAAATATTTCGATTTGTTTAGTGCATAGTGAGAGATATGGGTCTAGATTTAATATTGAGCATGTGAAGTCAGTTTTCCCAGCACCATTTATAAAAAGAGGCTGTCTTTGTTCTAGCAAAGATGTTTGGCCCCTTTGTCAGAAATAAGATAGCTAACTCAATGTGCTTGGAGTTGTTTCTGCATCTTCTGCTCTGTTCCATTGATCTTTGAGTGTTTTTCTGCTAGTACCATGCTGTTTTTATCACTGTAGAGCTAGAATTTTTCTATTCCAGTCTGGCTAATAGACAACGAGTTTTGGTACTCCACCAGGCACCAGCCTGGAGTAAGGGTACACTATTCTGCTCCAATCCTGCCCATCTATTATCAAGTCCCAAGGAACAGGCCTAAATCCTGCAGTCTTAAAGAGTCCATAGGCCTTCTCTTTAAGGTTGGCTGTGTTAACTACTTTTCACATTTAACTGAACGTAATTTTAACATCTTTATTTCAAAAAAGAGAAAACTACAGTCATAATTAGGCCTGACGCAAGTCAGCACTGTTCAATGCCTTGGCTCTTATTGGGATTTTAACTTTGTAATTAAATTGTTAGGTAGGTGAGTGGGCCGGTTCACCCAAAAGAACCAAATAACGAAACGATTCAAATTTAATTTGCTTAAATAAAACTCTAAAAGACGGCTCCTAAATATGTCATTGCGGAGGGCGCATTCAGACACCATTATCAATAGCAAACGTTCAGGGAAAGTAACCCCTACCTTCACTCTCCAGGAGGCCCCACGCCCCGCTGGAACTCCCCGGCAAAACGCATCCAGTTCCCCCACTTGACAGAGTACGTGTGTCTCACGGTTTCTAAAAAGTGCACCGAGGCCGCCACATCCTAAAACAAAGGCTCCACACTTATGCCCCGCCAGTCCTGCGGCCCCTCCCTCCCGTGACCTTGGTGAGCCTGTCTCCAGGCCCAGGTCGAGCTGGCCAGTGGTGTTTCGGGGTAGCAGCGAGTCGCGACCTTCAATTCACCAGGATGCCGCGGCTCCCGATCCCAGGGTCTCCGGGGCGGGGGCAGAGCCTTCCCAACCCGTCCGAAAAGACGGGGGGTCGGGGGTCCGCGGGACGAGGCACGCGCTCTGCGGGCTCTGCCAGAGGCTGTCCAGCCCTCGCTCCGGCTCCGGCTCCCGGCCTCCGCCAGACTCCCACCCTCCCGCAGCTCAGACTCACCGCTCGGGACAGCGCCAAGCGCCGCGCGCGAAGAAACCGCGAAACGGTCCCGACCCCCGCCATGTCTGCGCCGTCCCGTCAGCGCCCTCGCCAGAACGCGCCTGCGCACCACGCTCGACCCGCGACCGACCCGGAGGCTCCGGTGTCTGCGCGCCAGGTCCCGTCCCGGGGTGGGGCGGGACAGAGGGGAGGAGTTACGCGGGTGCGCACCACGCAGCGCGCGGGGTTAGGCCGAGGATGTGGCTCCCGCACCGCGGATTTTAGGAGTACGGCTCTGCGGACCCGGAGTCTCCGCGGTCAGGCTGAGGTAGGTCGGTCTGATTGGGCTCTGCTCCGGGGAGGGGTCGAGCACCCATATCTTTTTTTTTTTTTTTTTTGGTACCCGGGATCGAACTGAGGACCTTGCGCTTGTGGGTCAGGCGGCAGAACCACTGAGCTAAATCCCCGGCCCAAGCACCCATATTTTTAAAAGCTCCCTTGGTGGTTCCCAGGATTGCAGGCCTGAGGGACCTTTAAGGATCCAGATCGGGGTTGACGGAGGTGGAGGAGCGTCGGCCGCTGCTTCGGGAGGACCCGCCTATGGGGACGCCCGCCCGGTCGTGGTCCCAGCACCCGGCCTCGGGAGAGGGTGGGATGACCTCCGGGGTCTGAGTAGCCCCCCCAACCTTCCCCCTAGACCCTCCCTCGGGACTGGGTGGGGTGATGTCCGGTGGGAGTGACCCCCAGCCTTGCTCCCAGGCCCCTACTCTGGCGTGGGCGGAAGTGATCCCCGCCGTTCACCCGCCCCAGACTTCCGGCGTAGTTGGGCGGGATCTCTGCCCTGGGTTTAAGTTGCTGTGGGTCACTGTAGAGGAGGGGACACTGGCCGACCAGATCCAAAGCTTTCCCTGTGGCACTGGTAGCTGGGAAGCTTAAACCTTCGTAGATCATGGTTTGCAAGCCTTTTTGCTAGCTTGCTCTGATTATACCCATGTGATTTTACCTAATGATTTTATTTTTTAGTGTATTTTTGTAAGATAACTGAAATCTTTTGTGGAATATAGTAGCATGAAAAATATACCAATATCCTTAAGTAACTATGCACTTAATATTACATTTTTAAAGTCTTCCTCTTATGTAATCTTTATGAACGTAATTATGAAGTATTACAATAGACCAGTCCCATTTTAATGATGTTTATAGTTTCCAGCTTTTGCTATTAGTCAATAAAGGCATAATTTATTTGAGCACGAAGCTTTATTTTTAGGGTTATTTCTTTAGGCTATATACCTCAGAAATGGACTTCATTGGTTGGAAGAAACAATCCTAACACAGCTGGCCGGCCCTCTGTATTGGTGGTATTGGTGGGCTGTCTCAGTGAATTCAACTAACTAAAGATTAGAAGTACTTGAGGGAGGCTGGGGAAGTAGCTCGATGGCGCCGAGTCTGCCTGGCAAGCACAAGGTCCTGAGTTTGATCCCCGGTACCAGAAAAAAAAAAGAAGAAAAGAAGTATTTGGGAAAATGATGCCTGTACTTATCAAGCACAGACTTTTTCTTCTGGTTATTCCCTTAACAGCATAGCACAGCTACTTGCATAGTATTTATATTGTATCAAGTATTGAGTGATACAGAGATGATTTAAAATATTTGGGTAGGCATAATGTAATTTAAAGAGCAAAATAAAAGAGATGATAGGAAACAGGGAAGTAGACTGGATGGGAAGAGGATATGGATATGGAGAGAGGAGAGCAGGGCGGGGAGTAAAAGTAATCACGATATAAGAGATGCATGTAATTATTATCACAAACATACAGTAATGAGAAGAGTGTATGAGTGGGTTACAAATACACCACTTTATCTAAGTCTTGAGCTTGTAGGATTTATGGTGTCTGAGGGAGTCTTGGATCAACCCCCCATGGATACAGAGGGATAACTATACTTCCCAGACTTTTTGAAAGTTAAGCAGTTTTAGTACCGTGTAAATTAGATGCTAATTTGCTACTTAGGTAAATTTGGTACCTAATTTAAAAAATTCTGCGGTTACCACAAATAACTTAGTATTAAGTTCTGAGCCATATATTTGGTCGTATCTTTATATTGCCTGTTATAGTTATATATTTTTAGGTGTTTAAATATTTAAAAGCCTGTTGACTTTTTTAAAACTTGAATTCCTTGGTTTTTTTTTCTTTTAAATTCTTCTCTTGGTACATTTTAACTATACAGTACCTTTACATTTATCAGTGGGTGCTTGTACCTGCACATGATGCATCTTGGTTCTTACTTTTTCCCCATTACTTGTGTGCCCTTCACCCCCTCCACCCTTCCCTATTTACCAAGACTTTGTTTCCATTTTTTTTCTTTTCTCATAATTTTTCCTTTCCCTTCTTTGCTTTCCCCTTCCCCTCCCACACCCCTACCCCTTTGGACCTTTTCTTCCTATTTCAAATTATCAATTAATCATTTTAATCCTTATTTACACTTTCAGTTTCTCACAGAGAAACTAGTCGATATTTACACACGTGTGTCCTATTTATTTCACTTAAGAGTATGGCCTCAATGTGCATCCATTTAGCTATGAATGTCTCTAGTTTCTCTTTATGGCTGAGTAGTACTTCCTTTTATAAAAAAACTACATCTTCTTTATCCAGTTTCCAGTTGATGGGCACTTGGGGTGTTTCCAAGCTTTCACTATATGAACTGTGCCGATATCAATTCCTTGTTTCTTACGTGCATCATTACCTATTTTGTGGTGGCTACATACAAGCAAGGTGACAGCTGTCATGACTCTTCCTTTGTGGGAACACTCACCTAGCATGGGTTCTTAATGAACTAGTAGATTTGTAGTAATTTTGGCCTTCAGCTGGGTTTGGAGGGTGTAGCCTGGGCCTGGTGCAAGGACCTCTATAATCCTGTTCATGACTGCTGTTATGGCTTGTGTTTAGATGTCCCCCCAAAGCCTCATGCTTTTCCAGAGGTGGTTGAATGTGGAGTGTGTGATTGATTCATGGTGAGGCTAGGCCTGAGGGAACTAGGATTAAGGGCATGAGTGTTACCTGCCCTAAGTAGTTTGAAAAAGATAAAAATGGCAGAAAGACAGTCTTAAGGCCCCTTGTTACCTTTGTCATGTTGCTTCTCCTCTGCAATGTCTGTTTGCCATCCCTGCCTTGGAGGCAGCCAATTATGGACTGAAACTCTACAAACTATAAGCCAAGTAAACCTCCTTCCCTCTTAACTTTGGGTGTCAGGTATTTTGTCTCAGCAATGAGAGAAAAGTAAGTAATGCAGCTCTCTCATAAGGGGCATGAGAAGGCCTCAGCATTGTCCCCACCTTCCTCTCCTGCAAGGCCTCTGTCCTTCCTGCCTTCCTCATGCCTTCTGCTCAAAAAATGCTTTCCTCCCACACCTTGCCTGATAGAATACTGTTTGTGCTTTGGAAACCAGCTCTAATGAACCAAAATGTCCAGTGTGAGCTCACTTTTAGCTGTGTTAGAGTACCAAGATACATACACACACACACACACACACACACGATTCCTTGCTTAACACAGATGCCATCTGAGAAATATGTTGATGAAGATTTTGACGTTGTGTGAACACCATAGAATGTGCTTAGACATTCCAAGTAGGTCATAGAATCTTTTTCTCCCTTTTTTTCCCCATTAAGTTTATAGGTACATTTATGTATACAATACAGTTACATTCATCATTGGGTGCTTGTACCTGTGCATGATGTATCTTGGTTCATATTTTTTCCCCATTCCCCTGCCCTCCTTCGCACCCTCCACCATTCCCTATTTACAAAGACTTTGTTTCCATTTTTTTCCTTTTCTCGTATTTTTTTCTTTTCCCTTCTTTCCTTTCCCCTACCCCTCCCACTTCCCCTACTCCTTTAGACCTTTTCTTCCTATTTCACATTATCAGTTATACATTTTTTTTTATCAGTTATACCTTTTGATCCTTATTTACACTTTTAGTTTCTCACACCAGAAAAACTATTTGGTATTTACACACATGTGTCCTGTTTATTTCACTTAAGAGTATGGCCTCAATGTGCATCCATTTAGTTATAAATGTCTCTACTTTCTTGTTCTTTACGGCTGAGTAATACTCCATTTTATTAAAAAAAAAAAACCCACATCTTCTTTATCCAGTCTCCAGTTGATGGGCATTTGGGCTGTTTCCAAGCTTTAGCTATTAAAAAATGTGTCGCTATAACATAGGTGTGCATATATCGCTGTGGTATGATTCTTTTAATTCTTTTGGGAAGACACCCAGCAGGGGAATAGCTGGGTCAAATGGGACCTCTAATCCTAGTTCTTTGAGGTATCTCCATACTGATTTCCACAGTGGTTGCACCAGTCTGCACTCCCACCAGCAATGGAGAAGGGTTCCTTTCTCTCCACACCCCCGCCAGCATTTGTTATTGGTTGATTTCTTGATAGCACCAATTCTTTCTGGGGTGAGGTAGAATCTGTGTTGTTTTCATCTGCATCTCTCCGGTGACCAGTGATGTTGAACGTTTTTTCGTATGTTTATTTGCTGCTTTTACTTCTTGGCCTGAGAAATGTCTGTTCATTTCAACTGCCCATTTTTGAATTGGGGCTTTATATTTGGGGGCTCTGATTTTTTTTTGTTTTTGGTACTGGGGATCAAACTCGGGAGGGCTCTGATTTTTTTCAGTTCTTTATTCTATATAGTAGTGCTTTGTCTGAGGGACAGCTGATAAAAATTTTTCCCACATTGTAGGTTGTCTCTTAGCTCTGTTTGTAGTTTCTCTTGCAGTGCAAAAGCTTTTTAATGAGATCCCAGTTATTGATTTTGCTAGTTCCCATGCTACTGAGGTTTTGTTCATAAAGTCCTTTCCCATGCCAATGTCTTCGAGAGTTCTACCTAACTTGTCTTTCAGCAAGTTTAGTGTTTCTGTCTTAATATTTAGATCCTTAATCCACTTCGATTTTAGTTTAGTACATTTCTCCCCTTTTTTTGCAATAGTGGGGATTAAATTCAGAGCCTTCTCACTGAGCTACACTGCAGCCCTTTAAAATTTTTTGAGACAAGGCCTTGCTAAGTTGCCCAGGCTTGGCTTGCCGTTATACCTTCCCTGCCTGTAGGCCATAGGACTTTTTTTTTTTGAGATAACCTTAGGGCCGGGGATTTAGCTCGGTGGCACCGAGCCTACCTCACAAACTCAAGGTCCTGAGTTTAATCCCTGGTACCAAAACAAAAACCTAAAAACCCATAAATTTATTTAAAGAATAATAAAGCTTTTATAAAATTGAATGCAGTGCTTCAAAAGAAATGACTGTGAAAGAAATTTCTCTAATCCTTAAATGCACTTCTGTTTGTGTTTTTTTTTACTTTTTATTTCACTGGTGCATTTTAAATACACATAATGATAACATCCATCGTAGGGAATCTGTACCTGTATATGATGTATCTTGCTCCTTCTTTTCCCCCATTCCCCTCCCTTCCTTTCAAACCGCCCATTATCTACAAAAGCTTTTCTTCCATTTTCTTCCTTCCATTCTTTTTTGTGCCTCTTCTCCCCCCACCCTTGTTTCCCTTCTCATTTGAGCATTTTCTTCCCATTTCCCAGCATTTATTATACATTTTGGTCCTTATTTACACTTTTGGTTTCTCATACTAGAGAAACCCTGTGATATTTACATTTGTATCTGCTTTATCTCACTTATGAGTATGGTCTTCCATTTAGAAGAGTAAGAGCATCGATTTAGTTAGACATGTCTCAGGCTTATCCATTATGGCAGAGTATAAAAAAAAAGCACATCTTCTTTATCCATTCATTAGTTGATGGGCCTTTGGGCTGTTCCCAAGCTTTAGCTACTACAAACCGTGCTGCTAGAAACATGGGTGCGCATATGCCGCTGTGGTATGACTCTTTTAATTCTTTGGGGAAGATCCCCAGCAGGGGAATAGAGGTCAAATGGCACCTCTAGTTTTAGTTGAGGAATCTCCCCACTGATTTCCACAGTGGTTGCGCCAGTCTACACTCCCTCAACAGTGGAGAAGGATTCCGTTTTTTCCCACAGCCCCACCAGCATTTGTTATTGGTTGATTTCTTGATAAAAGCCATTCTTTTTGGAGTTAGATGGAATCTAAGTTTTTTTGTTTGTTTGTTTTTGTTTTGTAGGGCGTGGGGGATCGAACTCAGTACCTTGTGTTTGCTCAGTACCTTGTGTTTGCAAGTCAGGCATGGCACTGCTGTGCTGAATCCCTGGCCCTCTAATTATTGTTTTAATTTGCACCCTTCGATGGGCTGGGGATTTAGCTCAGTGGTTTTGTCACCTGCTGTGCAAGGGCAAGGACCCAAGTTCGATCCCTGGTACCCCCCCCCAAAAAAATTGCACCCTTTAAATGACCAGTGATGTTGAACATTTTTTTCATATATTTATTTGCTGTTTATACTTCTTCATCAGTGAAATCTCTATTTATCTCAGATGTCCATGTTTTGGATTGGGTCTTTAAATTGGGGGGGGGTCTGATTTTTTTTTAGTTCTTTATATATACTAAATATTAGTCCTTTGTCTAAGGAACAGCTGGCAAAAGTTTTTTCCCACTCTGTGGTTTGTCTTTTCACTCTGTTGGTTTCTTTTGCTGTTCAAAAGCTTTTTAGTAAGATGAGATCCCAGTTGTTGACTCTTTGTCGTATTTCCTGTGCAATTGGGATTTTGTTCATAACGTCTTTGCCTACATCAGTGTCTTTAAGAGTTGTACCTATTCTGTCTTCTAGCGGATTTAGTGTTTCTGTTTTAGTATTTAGATCTTTGATCCATTGTGTTTTTAGTTTAGTGGATGGTAAGAGATAAGGGTCTAGTTTTAATCTTGGACACATGGAAAACCAGTTTGTCCACCACCATTTATTGAAGAAGCTATCTTTCTTCCATTGTCAAAGATAAGGTGGCTGAGCATGTTTGGAGTTGTTTCTGTATCTTCTCACGTGCTCCATTGATCCTCAGGTTTGGTTTTTTTTGCCAGTACCATGCTGGTTTTTGGGGGTTTTTTGGTACTGGGGATCGAACATGGGTCCTTGCACTTCCATGCTGCTTTTATCACAGCAGCTTTGTAGTATGATTCCAAGTCAGGGACTGTGATGCTCCCAGCCTTGCCTTTGGTGCCCAGAATTGCTTTTTTGATTCTAGGTCTCTTCTGGTTCCAAATGAATTTTGGGATTGTTTTCTCTAATTCTGTGAGGTATGCTATTGGTGTTTTGATTGGGATTGCATTAAATCTGTATAACAGTTTTGGAAGTATGGGCATTTTCACTATATTAGTTCTTCCTACCCAAGAACAAGGAATGTCTTTCCATTTTCTGACATCCTCTTCAATCTCCTTTTTCAGAGTACTGTAGTTTTTAATAAAGGTCTTTTACTTCCTTTATTAGATTGATTCATAGATATTTCACCGGGGGTTTTTTTTGATACCAGGGCTAGAAATTGGGACCTTGCGCTTCCGAGGAAGGTGCCGGAACCACTGAGCTAAATCCCCGGCCCAGGTATTTCACTTTTTTGGATGCTATTGTGAAAGATATGATTTCCTTAATTTCTCTGTGAGTTTGTTGGCCATAGGATCTTATGGAACTATTGGCCTATATGTGGTCCATCTTCGACCAAAATGATGTTATGGGTCACATATATGTGTGTCTGCTGTGGGGAGGGCATGCACAAAGGAGAGAGCATTTGGGTTTTTTCTTCTTGGGTGGTGATGGTGTTGTTGTTGTTTGAGACAGGGTCTCGCTGTGTAGTCCAAGCTGGCCTCAAACTTGCAGCAATCTTTCTCCCTCAGCCTCCCAAGAGCTGGGATTACAAGCATGGGCCACTATGCCCGGCACTTTCTTGGTTTTTTTGAGACAGGGTCTCATCTGAAATTCAGGTTGGGCTTGAACTCACTGTGTAGCCAGGCTGGCCTCGAGCACACAGTGATCCTCCTGTCTCAACCTCCTGAGTGCTGGGAAGAATGAGCATTTGATTTATTCTAAGCTAAGAAGGTGGTATGAGAATTCAAATAGTAATCTCATCCAGAAACACCTCTCAGACCCAACTATAATGATGTTCAACCAAGTGTCTAAGCATGTCATGGTTCAGTCAAGTTGACACATACAGTTCACCACAGGGCTAGGGATGTACCTCATACGTGCAGCACCTGCCTAGCAAGTGTGAGGCCCTGAGTTCATTTCCTGGTACCAAAAAAGAAAAATACTCAACCACCACAGCAGCCATATTTTTAAACGTACTTATACTAGAGAACTTAACGCATTCTACCTGTGGATCACTTATTTGAGTCATACCCTGCCCCCATTGGTGAGTTGTTCTTTTCTTGAAACCCCATATGACTAATTATTGTGCAGCCCATAGGTAGAACTGAAAAAAAACTTTTTTAATAAAAAGAAATGACTTCAGTGGCCAAAGTAGATGATGTAATCATGATGGCTCTATTTTATTTTCTTTATACAGTTAATATGTTTTTGCTTTTTTTCAAGGTGTATCTCCATGAATAACTTAAATGATCCACCAAATTGGAACATCCGCCCTGATTCCAGAGCCGATGGTGGTGATGGAAGCAAGTGGAATTATGCCCTGTTGGTGCCAATGCTGGGGTTGGCAGCTTTTCGTAAGTCATGGCTTTCTGACATTTGTATTTTCTGGGCTAAAGGTGTGAAGCCCTGCTCAGGACTGCAAGGGACTGGCACCTGAAGACTGTGGCTTTCAAACTGGACAGGTATAGCCCAGTTTTATCCCATACAGTGACTTTCCTCAGCCTCAATTTACCTGGCCCTGGAAATGACTAATCACACTTAGCTCAGCACATTGTGATGATTAAGACAAAAGTATTTGGAAGCATTTTGTGTGGAATGGGTTTTTTTTTGGTACTGGGGATCGAACTCAGGACCTTGAGGTTTTCCATTTTTCATGTTCATCGTTGCTTTTATAGCTGCTCGTAATGACTTTAAGTTTTTGCCTTCTCTTGGACATTCAAAATGTTTTCTGTCCCTGAGAAAGGTTGAGGATGTGATCAGAGATAAAATTTAATATTTGCATTTTTATAAGGAGTCTCCAAAAATGTGTTACTGTATGTCTGCGAAGATGCCTTGCAACCAGGTGTTAACTCACCTTGGCATGGTCTAGAGGTAAAAGCAGATTGATAAATTCTGTACTTGAGCAACACTTAATGGATTAATGAGAGGCTAGTTTTTTCCTGATCATTTGAACTTCATAACTTTTGACACGATAGAGACTAATATAATTGTGCCCACTGAAGGCAGTCCCTGGCAACACTGTTGCTCTGAAAAGCTGCCCTAGGACAGTGTCTGGTATTTCCTCTGGCAGGCTGCACCCTCTTACTCACTGCTTCTATGTCCTGTCTTTCCTTTCCCACCTCTCTGTGCTCCTTCCCCTTTTGCATTCCCTCACCTCCTCTTTTGTCCCTTCTCCTGGAAAGCACAGTCTTAGAGCTAAACGGTACTCATAGAGAACATTTAATCCAGCTCAGGTTTTTCTGATGGAATGTTTCGCTTTGAGACCATTGTAGACCACACACAGTTGTGACAAGTAGTCCAGAAAGCTCATCTACACTTTACCTAGATCTTCCTGAGTGACATCTCGAGAGCCATGTAGTGTAGGGCTACAACCAGGTACTGACTTCAGCACAGGATGTCGCCCTTTATAGCCATGCTTCCCTCTGTGCCCTGTGCTCCAGAATGTCATGTAGTAGAATCATGCTGTGTAACCCTTGGGGCTGGCGTTTTCACTCAGCATGAACCCAAGACCCGTGTAGACTGTTGCTGTCTCCGTAACTCATTGACCATTCTTAACTGCCGAGCAGTGCATTTAATCTTTTGCCCGTAAGACATCTGGATCATTTCTAGTTTTTGGCTACTATGAATAAATTACTACCAATGTTCTTTATAGGTTTTTGTGTGAACTTAGGTTTTCATTTCTCTTGGGTAAGTGGCCACAAACGCAGTTGCTAGGTTTTATGGGGTGGTATGATTAGTTTTTAAGTTTTCAAGCTTAAACTGTTTCCCAAGTGGCTGTGTGATGCATTGTATGTTCCCACCAGGAATGTACGAATGGTCAGTTTCCCAGCATCCTTGCCAGGATTTGGTTTTGTGACGTGTTTCTTTGCCTGCCATTGTCATAGGTGTGAGCTGGTACTGTATCTTGATTTTGGTTTTATTTTGCTTTGCCCTGATGGCTAATGATGTTGAGCATCATTTTACATGCTTAGCAGCCAACAGGATATATCCTGTTCTATCAAGTATCTGTTTGTGTTTTGGGCCATTTTCCAATTGGAGTGTTTGTTTTTAAATCTTGAGTTTTGAGAGTTTTTAATGCATCCTTGATTCTAGTCTTTAGTTGGATATCTGGGTTTGCAAGCATCTTCTCCTTGTCTAGCTTGTCTTTTCATTCTCTTAACTGTCTTGTAGGGCAAAAGTTTTAGTTTTCATGAAGCATTTTTTACTATTTTTCTTTTTCTAGATTATACTTTTTATGCCAAGTCTAGGAACTCTTTGCCTAACCGTAATTCTGAAGATTTTCTTCTTGTTTGAACTGCAACCTCCAGACTCTGTTGGGTAGTCTTTGAGTCTTGTAGGGAAAGCACCCAGTCTTTTACCATTAGGTACTGTGTTAGCTGTAGGTTTTGTGGATACCCTTCACCAAATCAAGGATGTCCCCTTCTTTTCCTATTTTTTGGGATTGGGTGTTGAATATTTGCTGCTGCTGTTGTTGTTGTTGTTTGTTTGTTAGTTTTGATAGAGGGTCTCACTATGCAGTTCAGGCTAGGCTTGAACTCACTATATAGCCCAGGCTGACCTCAAACTCATGATGACCTTCCTGCCTCAGCCTCCTGAGTGCTGGGATTACAGGCATGTGCCACCATACCTGGCTTTGGGTATTAAATTTTTAGAAATTTAAAATTTTTTTAAATTGAAAAAGGCTTCCGACAAAATCCAAACCCCTTCATGATAAGAACCCTGAAGAAAGTAGGTGTAGAAGGACCATGCCTGGATTTGATAAAAGCTTTTTATGACAAACCAACAGCCAACATCGTATTAAATGGGGAAAAACTAAAAGCACTCCCTCTAAAATCAGAAACAAAATAAGGATGCCCACTATCACAACTTCTGTTTAACATAGGACTTGAAACATTACCCAGAGCAGTAAGGTAAGAGAAAGAAATTAAAAAAGGACATAGACAGGAAAGGAAGAACTCAAATGATCATTATTTGTGGATGACATGATATTCTACATAGAAGACCCAAGAAACTCTGCCAAAAAATTCTTATCACAATATCATTAAGAAAAATGAACTATCTAGGAATTAACATAACCAAGGAAGTAGAAGACCTCCACAAAGAAAACTATATTACTCTGAAAAAGGAAATTGAAGAGGACATCATAAAATGGGAAGATGTCCCCTGCTCCTGGGTAGGCAGAACCAATATTGTCAAAATGACCATACTCCCAAAACTGGTATACAGATTCATTATAGTCCCAATCAAAATACCAACCTCATGCTTTATAGATCAAGAGAAAACAATCCTGCAATTAATTTGGAACCAGAAGAGACCCTGAATAGCAAGAGTAATTTGGGGCAACAAGAACAAAGCAGGTAGCCTTACATTACCTGACTTCAAGCTATAGTACAAAGCAGTGGTGATTAAAACGGCATGACACTGGATAAAAAACAGATACATGGATCAGTGGAACCGATTAGAGGCAACGGAAACATCTCCAGACACGTTCAGCTATTTGATCCTTGACAAAGGGGCCAGAAGCATATGTTGGAGGAAGGATAGCCTACTCAATAAGTGGTGCTGGGGAAACTGGATAACTGTTTGCAGAAGATTGAAGCTGGACCCATATCTCTCACCATGTACTAAATTAAAATCAAAATGGATCAAAGATTTAAACTTTTGTTTTTGAGACAGGGTCTCACTATGTAGTTCAGGCTGGCTTTGAACTTGCTGCATTCCTCCTGAATCAGAAAGATCTAAACATTAAAACAGAAACATTGAACCTACTGGAAGATAAAATAGGCAGAACATTTGAAGTCATAGGTGTAGGAAAGAATTTTCTAAAAGGAACCACAATTGCACAAAAAATAACAATAAGAAAAATGGGATTACCTCAAATTAAAATTCTGTACAACAAAAGAATCAGTAGAGTGAAGAGACAACCTATAGAATGGGAAAAAATTAGAATATGTAAAGAACTCAAAAAAATTAGACCACTTAAAAGACCCTGTCAACAAATGGGCACATGAAATGGATACTTCACAGAGGAAGAAGTACAAATGGCCCACAAATATATGAAAAAAATGTTCTGCCTCTCTGCCCGTTAGAAAAATGCAAATTAAGACAATACTAAGACTCCATCTTATACCAGAAAGAATGGCAATCATCATGAAATTAAAAAAATAACAAATGGTAGGAGGCTGTGATGAAGAAGGTACTTTCCTACATTGTTGGTGGGAATATAAACTAGTACAACTATTGTGGAAATCAGTGTAGAAATTTTTCTTTTTTTTTTTGGTACCAGGGATCGAACTCGGGTCCTTGTGCTTATGCAGCAGGCGGCGAAAAGTGTAGAAATTTTTCAAGAACTAAAATTACAAATTGGATATGACCCAGGAGGCCAGCCTGGACTACGTAGTGAGACCTTGTCTCAAAAATAAGGAGACAAAGGATTTCTTGCAAATGGGAGGGGTCCAAGAGACCAAGGGCGAGGAATGAGGGGGAGTGGAATGGGAAATATAGTGATATCTCGCTTTGCAATCTCAATTCTTTTCATGATTCTGGTTGCAAACCAAACTGGACACGAACCAAATCAAATTTCCCCATAAGGTTAACATTGCATCTAACCATTGAATTTGATTTAGTTCTTATCTGACTTGGCTTGTGACCAGAATCATGGAAAGAGTCAAGTATGTGAAGTGTAAGTAGAATAAATATATACTATGTACACGAACTTAATAATCTCAATGAGTGTAAATATATGCCATAAACATGTGCTGGGATTAATAATAAGTCTGGGAGGAGGGAGGGAAATGGAAGGGGATTACAAAAAGAGACAAGTTTTATTAGGTACAGTTTAGCCAAGATGATTGTAAACTGCATATACTGCAAACATGTACTAATAAAAAAGTTTAAAACTCCATCAAAAAACTTATTTTTAGATCAATTGCTATGGTTGTATAATTTTCCTTCAATATTGAACCTATTTTCTCTGGAACTATTCCCCACTTAGGCATGCTGTATATATTGTATAATTATTTTTGTTAACATTAAGGAATTTTTTTTTTTTTGGGGGTACCGGGGATTGAACTCAGTTCCTTGTGCTTATGCAGCAGGAGGCGAAACCACTGAGCTAAATCCCTGGCCCAACATTAAGGAATTTTTGTGTTTGTATTCACAAGGGACATATTGAATATGGCCATCTTTTAGGTATGCTTATTCTGTCATTTTTTTCATTTTCAGGTATTGTATTTTTCATTTCTAAAATTTTCATTTGGTTGTTCTATTTCTTTGCTTAGATTTTTTATTGTGATGACTTTTCTTTTTTTTTTTTGGTACCCGGGATCGGACTCAGGTCCTTGCTCTTGCACAGCAGGCGGCGGAACCACTGAGCTAAAATCCCCGGCCCCTATGATGACTTTTCAATTCTGTCATATAATACACTTTTCATCTTAGTTTTGGCATCTCTTGATTATCTTTTTTCATTCAGCTTCAGATCTTCCTGGTCCTTGGTATGAGGAGTGATTTTTGTTTGAAACTTGGGCATTTGATTATTGTTATGAGACTGGTTTTTATGTAAACCTGTTTTCGCTGGCTGGCTTTGCCATGCTCAAAGGAGGAGGGTGATGCTGCCTCCTTACTGCAAGATTTGGGTAGAAGTGCAGGCCACTGGCCCTGTGGGCTCCCCAGGTCCCCTGGCTCCTACCGGGCTTCCTTTCAGCCCCACCTGAGGTGGATGGTTGGACACCTTGGCCCATGTCCAGTTCTGCCTTTGCCCCTGCCCACTCCAGGTGGAGGTGGGGCTGCAGGTTTTTCAGGTAATTAAACTGGAGTAGAGTGGTTATTGTCTGTAAATGTTTTCTGTCCCACCAGGCCCTGTCCTAATTCTTTAGGCAGGGAGAAGCAACTTGTGTTGAGAATTCTGTTTATATTTTTAAGCAAAACATTTATCGGTACATTTAAGATATATATAATGATAGCATATATCATAGGGAGTTTGTTCTTGTACATGATATATCTTGCTTCTTTTTTTCCCATCCCCCCACAGACTTCTGTTTAAATATGTAGCCACTGACATTTCACTCCTGGAGTCTTGGAGTCCTGGAGTCCTGAGGCAGCGTTTCCCAGAGGGTTCACTTCATGATGCTCACTAGTCTGGCTCCTCCTCCCCTTTCAGTCTGACTTTCATTTTATGTGTGACATCCAGGGTTCTTCCTTGTATTTACCAAGAGAAACCGGGACACTCTGCTCCACAGTCCCAGAAGCGTGAACCTTTAAATCCTATTTCTGTTGCTCCTTTGTTCATTTGGTTGGTTTGTTTATTTGCTGCTCTAAAGTTTCTGTCAGTTGAGATGCAGAATGAGGTTTTTGTGAGTTGTAGTTTATTCTCCATTCTCCTTGCAGAGTTCCTTGATGACTGTCCTCTCCTATGTGGCTTCCTGCCCTTATCCCACTTCTTTCAGAGACCAACCCAAAACTTTCCAGTCCTCAGAGATGCACGGTGATCTCCATCACCCTGTCTCAGGTGTCCCATGTGGAGCACATTGCTCTGTGAGATCCCACCAGGCCCAGCAGGGAGCAGCTCCCCCTTGTGCTCAGCCCCACTCCCACAGCACCTCCAGGGTGGTGTCTGCTCAGATTGCCCTGTTCTGTAGGAAAAAATTCATTGGTGAACTCCCTGGCTCAGGATGCATTCAGTGATCCTCATCAGACTTGTTGGGTCCAAAGTTTGTCTCTGACTCTCCAGCATGTCCGGCAGGCCAGTGTGAGGCCGGCAGCTCTCCCAGGCTTCCCTCCTCGCAACTCAGCTCTGCAGACTTGGGTCCCATCCACCCGTCCTCTGGTTACTGGAAGCTGGATTAGCCCATTCTCCTACACACCTGGTGCAGACCTCTCAGTGCTTACCAAGTTACATTGTAAAGCTACTTTCTGGTTTGCTCCCCTGCCCTGAGACATTAGATTGTCTGTCCACACAGGACTAGCAGCTGGCTTTGGTTGGGGAGGATGAGTTTGCTTTTGTGCCTATAGAATTGAGGCGGCTCCAGCATATCCACATAAAAGTGGCTTTCATAAATTCTGCTAAGTGCTCTTGCCAAGGTGATCATTGATGTCATGGACCTGGAACAGAGTGTCATATGGCAAGGACACCGGCTTCAGGGAGCATGCAAAAGTGGGAGAAAAACCGTGCAAGTTGTTGGAAACTCTGGTGGTTATAGAGTGGCCTGTGGACTGTAGAGAATCAAAAGTTGGAGCAGGAAAAGATACATAGCATTTGTGAGAGAACCTGGGGCTGCTGCTCTTGGTGGCTTTGGGGCCTTGAGCTTTGAGAATTGGCAGAATGCTCCTATTTTCCATAGGCCTCAAGTCCATGCTGCTTTTAGGAGGGACAGGCTAAAGACATCATTTTGAAAAGGTAGGATTTAGCATATAGTTCCCCAGCATTCTTTAAATTATTGGCAGTAGCGTCCATTCAGAGATGATGGGCATCCTGTACCAGGAGGAGATCACTGCACTGCCTTGTCTCACTGTCCACATCTTAGGCTCCTGGTGTGAGTGGGGAGGGGAAAGAGTTGGTGACCCTGGCCACCTGTCCCACTGTCAGGCTGTGTGAGCCATCAGGCCCTTGGGTCTTTGATTTCTCTATGTGGCACAGAATGGAAGCCAGCTGCTCCTGGGTGTGAGGCAGAGCTGAGTGATACCCCCTGTCCCAGACCAAGTGAGCTCCAGTTTTAGGAGAGGAATCAGACCACGTCTTGAGGCTGAACTTCCTCAATTTGGTTTTATAGAACATAAGCAAACATCTTGGGCGTAAGCACTAGTGATCACTGGGCAAAGCTAGGCACATCTTCTAGCCCAAACTGATTTTTTTAAACCTTGCCAGTGATCCATGGGGCCTGAAGGCCAGTAAACTAGTAGATTGTCATTGCTGTAGAAATTAGGTAGCTGAACAGGGGTACTGTATGTGTACCCATGGACACCCAGCCCAGGCCTGATTCTAGGATAAGAACTAATTTCCTACAAAACATCGACTTCTTGCTACCTCTGTGGTCTTAGGCTTTTGTTGAAACTATTCTTATTGCATTATGTTTTCTTTGAGTAAAGATCAGAGAAGACTCTTCATCATGTATCTTTTTCTCTCTATTTATGTCAGGTTGGATTTGGTCCAGGGAGTCCCAGAAAGAAATAGAAAAAGAGAGACAAGCCTATTATCAGAGGACAGCTGCTTTCCAGCAGGATCTTGAAGCCAAGTACCATGCCGTGATCTCAGAAAATCGACGTGCTGTTGCTCAGCTGTCTTTGGAACTTGAAAAGGAGCAAAATAGAACAACTAGTTATCGAGAAGCCCTCATCTCTCAAGGGCGCAAGTTGGTGGAAGAAAAGAAGCGTCTGGAACGGGAACGGGCTCAGGTAATGAAAGAGAAAAGCCAGCTGCAGCCCCTGAGAAGTGTGTATCTGAGCTGCCTGGAAGAGCAGGGGGACTGGGAGCAGAGAGCCCGGCTGATGCTGAAGGAGACTGGAGAGGCCCTTGCTGAAAGGCAGAGCATCTACTGCAGCCTGGTCCTCCCCCGACGTGCCAGACTGGAGCTTGAGAAGAACTTGCTGGTGCGCGCGTCCATCGACCCTGTGGCTGCTGACTTAGAGATGGCAGCTGGCTTGACTGACATATTTAAGCATGATACATATTGTAGTGGTGTCTGGAACACCAACAAACGCCAAAATGGGAGACTCATGTGGCTCTATCTCAAGTATTGGGAGCTAGCTGTTGAATTGAAAAAGTTTAAGAGAGTAGAGAAGGTTATCCTACAGAAGTAAGAGAAAATGAAATAAAGCTCAAGACCAGACGACAGTAGTTTATTCTGGCATTCTGTGTTCTGCGCTCTCTGATGTTTTATGTTTCCTGCCACCTCTTTTGTAGCCACATGGCAGCCACTGCCAGCAGTGACTCCACTCCTGCCACTCTGAACACCACAGCATGGCCTCAGCTGATGAAGGGGTTCCTCTAGGTGCTCTGCAGCTGCAAAGGACTCACTTCTCTGAAGCATTTTTCCGAGCTGCTAATATTTAGCAGAATAACATAAGCTCATGTTTTAGCTCTGTGGTAAAAATTGTTTTTAAAAGGTCAAATACAGGGGCCGGGGATTTAGCTCAGTGGTTCCACCACCTGCCCCGCAAGTGCAAGGACCAGGGTTTGATCCCTGGTACCAAACAAACAAACAAAAAAAGGTCAAATACAATATTGATTCTCAGTAAAAGCAATTTTCCTTCAGTTTTCATCTCTCCCTAAATATATTGTTCTTTTGAGTTACTTTTCTCCTCCAGATTCTCTTTAGAAGTCATCAAGTAATATGTCAGATTGCCTTGCAGGTGACAGTAGGAAGTAATTATATCCTCAAGGTTTTGCACTGAGTGGAAGATCTCTCTCACTCAGATGGTATTTAGTATGTGTTTGGAATTCAGCTTGTGCCTGTATTCAGTAAGCAGATATTATTTGTTAGTATGATACACAATCAAAAATACATGCCATTTAAAACTAATAATGCCACTTTTAAGTTGTGTGATTCTTTACTCTGAACAAACTGTTTTCATGTATATTATCTCAGTTTTTACCACAACCAACCTGCAAGGTAGATAGGCACTTATAACACCATTTCGTACATTGCTAACATGAACTGAGGCTTTTTGCATATCACTTGTGCAGTCCTTTCCTACGAGCAAGTACTATCATTATCTGGGTTGGGGGCTCCCCAGGACCAGCCCAGGGTCCATGGCCTGCATGGAGTGTCCCAGGGCTCAGCACATGGGTGTCCTCACAGCCATGAACTGTGACTACAAGAGAAGAAGTCAGCAGAGGGGGAAGGCGTGTGGCATGAGCCTGTAGGGGACTAGGGTTGAGCTTCCAAGGATCCCTCTGAGCATGTACGTGGAACACACTCCATTCCTCCAGGGCCGAGCTGTGACCGTGTGTTACAGATCCCTGGTGCACTCACTGGAGACTCCACCGGGGTTGTGATGGGGGGTGTTCTCACCCCTCTGGCTGAGACAGACTGCCTCCAGACCAACAGATGGGCAGGGCTGGCAGGCCTGTGGTGGGGGCTGGGTTAGGCCCAGAGCCAGTCTTCCTAGGTAATGGTGCCGGGCACCCTTCCAGAATCCAAGTTCCCAGGTTCCAACCTTGCAAGCGGGCCTTTGAGAGGATGGGGTCTTGGTGCTGCCATGTGAGCTCTTTCACACATCCTCGCTTCTCAGAGGGGATCTGGGACTCAGGTACTGGAATGGAAACCTGGCCTGGTCACACCAGGTAGTGGTGTTAGAGCGGTACAGGCATGTTGACTCCGGAACTACTGGGACCTTCCTCGTGGGTATTTGACAGTGGCCGACCAGGGACGGGCCCATAGAACACAGTGGCAGGAATTCTGTTCCTCAGTTGACTCGCTGGGCGGCGATGCCTTTATCCCTCTTGTTTAAGCTCTTAGATATGATTATATATATTGTATGTGTGTATTGCAGACTGGCAGGTACAGCGTTGGTTTCATGACAAAATAATTGCAGGGCAACACGCAGCAACAATGTTGTGATGTTGTGAGGGGGAAGCTTGCGCAGAGGACTTACGTGTTCTTTAAAAGAGAAGTTGTGTCTGACTGAAATGTGAAACTGTTGGATTATTTTTAAAACCTGATTGCTTAATAGTTACTGAGATCATTTCTAAAGTAAAGGGGAGGAAAGGTTCCCACCCAGAAGCAAGTCTTTAGAGTATGACACCCGAGCTCTGAGCAGGGGCCGCAGAGTGTATGCCACTCAGGCAGCTCCCTTCTCTGGGCAGCTCCACACTGATGGCAACCTCATTGCTGGGCTTGCTCCGCCTACTCTACCTGTCGGGTGAGCTGAGCTTTAAAGTTGGTCTCAGAGTAGTGGCACGCTCCTGTATTCCCAGCACTCAGGGAGGCTGAGGCAAGAGGATCATGACTGGAGTCCAGCCTGGGCAGCTTAGTGACTTAGTGGGTCCGTGTCTCAGAAATAAAGAAGACTAGCTCAGTGTGAGGGCCTTGGGTTCAATCCCCAGCATCCCCACACACAGTGCCCCTCCCTATTTTAGGTCTGACAAGATAGTCACTATTTTTCACTATGTATCTCTGGTCACAAGCAGTAGAGATCTGGGTAACTTGGACACACATGAAGGAGATTGATTTTAAGGCCATCTCCTGGGACCTCAGTGCAGCAGTGGGAAAAAGCAGGTCGGATCTCTGAGAGGAGCTCAAGATGGCCCTGAGCCTCCCTGGGAGGAGCTCTCCTGCCGCTGCATTTTGGTTCCAGCCTCTCAGGCCACTTGCAGCTGAGCAGGCATACTGACTGTCCTGCAGAAAGTGGGGACCCCTGGGGTATTTGAATGGAGTGGAACAGTGAGAATCAAGGGCTTCAGAGTGTGGCTTTGTTAACTTCACAGGAAACCTTGAAAGCAAAAGGCTTTGGTAAGCCAGCCATGACACAAGCCCTGTTAGGGAAGCCAGGGCCCCAGTGGCGCCAAAGGAAAGCTCCGTTCTGCAGGTGAAAGTCTTGCTGTCAGACTGACAGAACAGCAGAGTATGGCAGCTTCCAGGGCAAGTTGGCCTGACACTTGGACTGGATGTTTGGTGAGTAGCCCGAGAAACAGAATCCCAGGGTCCTGAGAGCCCTTCACGTCAGCTCAGGTGTTCCTGTTGGGGGCCCTGGAGAGCCAGCCCCTGGGAGAGGCGCTCTTGAGCTCCCAAGAGGCTGGCTACTTGCAGGAACTGGAAAACAGTGCTGGTCAGCCAGAAGGCACCATGTTGGAATGCTTAGCTCCAGATTGATGCTCTGGCGGGGCACCTGCAATGGCCTCTGAATGGGCTGGAATTCCTGGCAGCAAAGGCTTGATCGGGGTCACTGTTGGGCCTACTGGTGAGGCTCTGGTCCTAGCGTAGCTCCAGTGGCTGCTCCTTGGGCAAGGCTAGCCTTGCTGGGAGCTGCTGTGGACAGGGATTGGGACTGGCAGAGGCAGGTAGGTGGATGGCTATGACAGGCTTCAAGACAATGGCCAGGGCCGGGGATTTAGCTCAGTGGCTCCGCCGCCTGCCTTGCAAGCGCAAGGTCCTGAGTTCGATCCCCGGTACCAAAAATAATAATTAATAATAATAATAATAAAAAGACAATGGCAAGCACAGCATCTTCACTGGGCAAGCTAGACATAGGGGCTGGTTGGTAACAAGGTTTTAAGGTTAGGAAGATGAAAGCTAAGTAGAACGTTGATTAACTTGTAACGGGGCGAAGGGAGAACAAGCACACTGGTGATGAGCAGAGCAAAGCCCCTTCGGGTCTGTGAGTATCTATGTTGTCTCCCTCAAACTGGTGTCCCGACCTGTGGATCTAGTCATTAAGATGGGAAGGGCCAGGCAAGAGCCCCTGAACTGCCCGCTCCTGCAGAATAAGCGGGAAGACTTAGGAATACGAAGGAGTGGCCCCCATGGTGTCCCCAGTGCTGGCCCCCTGGATCCCCTGGCATCTCTGATACTGGTCTCCATAATGTCCTTGTTCATTTCACCCATCTGGCCCTGGGAAGACCAGCTGGGTCAAGGCAGGTGACAGCCCAGGGTAGATGATGCCCCCAGAGCAGCATCAGTAGTCAACCTGGCTACAGCTACCAATGTGCGTTGCATTTTCTGGGTTTCCAACAGTGTGCCCATGGGTCAGAGGCCCTGATTTCTGCTGCAGAGATCTGCTTTTCACAAATACAGTAGGATGACACAGGGCCCTGGTGGATGGGCACCAGATTTGTGGCCATGGATGCCACCTGGCCTTGGGCAGAGTCCTAAAGTGGGGCAGGTGACCTAAGTTCATCAGATTGAAACCGCACATTCGGGCAGGGCCAGAGGAGTAGGTTTATCTCACATACAAAGCCCTGGGCTGCTTCAAGATGACTCTGAGCCAAATGTGCCCACAGTCCCTTGGCTTGGGAAGAGTGGGCTCCTGCCCCAGAAGGGCTCTGGGCCAGTGTGGAGGGGGCACCGTCCAAAGCACCTGCTACCAGCGCCTTCACCTGTCCCAGTAGACTTCCATATGCCTGCCCCTGCCCAGATTATAGGTCAGGTCTAGCTCAGCCTCACTGGTGGGAGCGAGGACTTCCAGTACTGCCAAGCCTGGAGATGTGATGGGTTATGATGCCACTTAGAGGCTGAGCTAGTTTAAAACAGTGGGAGCTACTCTGCTTTTGACAGTCAGAATTAGATTGCTTAAACGTTTTGCATGGTACTTGCTCTCTTTCCAAGAACTTGCTACCATGTTAAACTCCGGGACTGAAACAGGATTCTTATAAAATTTATGCAGTGGGGTGAGCAGAAAACAGTTAAGGTGGTTGCAGGGAAAGCAGAGATAGAGGCTCATTTCCTGCCTGGAGACAGGTCTGCCCACTCCATGGCTGGTCACTGCTGGGACCTGGGACAGGCAGAGCGTGATGCTTTCTGCTGGGCCCACACCCAGGCTGCCGCACTGAGCTAGTTTGAGAATGGCCTGGAGTGTACCTGGTGGTGGGGCTATGGAGAGGGACTACATGGCAAGCCACATTTCAGATCCTCAGGTCTGGCTCCAAGCTCTTACCTGTCTTGAGAAAATGTTTTATGTTCAGACTCTTAGGCCCTTAAGAAAATATTCTGAACTGCAGTACAAGAAATGCCACGTCTGAGTAAACCACACTTCTGTTTTATTAGCGTTTAACCATCCTAATGCTCAGTTCTTTGACCAAGCAGGTTGTGATGGAAACCAAGTCCAAGTGCGTCTTTCTCTGATGCTGATTGGCGCCTCCTTGAAAGTCGCCAAGTGTCAGCCTGCAGTCTCCCCAGGAGCCGGAGCCCAGGTCTGGTGCTCGGAGAGAGGGCTGCTGGGCAGAGATGGGACAAGAGTCAGCACTCACTCAGTCGGATGCCAGCGAGGGGAGGAAGCCACCCTACTGCAGCCCAGGCCTTGTCTTGTGAGCATTAGTGCAGCAGGCAGGACAGGAGCTGCTGTGCGTGGTACCCGCTGCTGGGCACAGGGGCTGTCCAGCTCACTTTTCATTTTTACTTTTCATGTTTAGTCTTTCTCAGTTAGCTTTCATGGGCTGCTTCTTATTTTATACATAGTCTGCAATAATTTCTCTCATGTCCTCATCCTCACTGGAGTGTAGCAGGTGGACTCTGTCCCCACTGCCATCTGGCCTAGCGCTTGGCCGAGCACTTCACCTTTGCTACTGTGGTGGCCTTTCCTTGGATCCTTGGCTCCAGGATCCTACTGTAGTGACACCCAGGACACCTGCTGTCACATCTAGAAGGCAGGCCTTCCTCTCCTACAGTACCCAACAGGCACACCTACAGTTTTCACTAAGAAGTGTTTTTGGGAGTGAAGTTGCCAGTGACAGATGCATGGCCCAGGCCTCCTATCTGGGACAGATCCCAGGTGCTCCACAGGCTGAAATGCAAGACCCATTCTGGACATGATTTGAGGGCTTATTCAATTTGTTTTAGTACTCTAGAAAAGTTTTCTAAAGCGTTTTTGAAAGCTTGCAGCAAGAAAGCACCAAGCTCATTGCTAGTTTCCTGAATGTCCGGGTCAAAGCTTCCAAAGAGTGGTGTGGAAGCCTGGATGTCCTCCCGGCCTGCCTGCAGCAGCACCAAGCGCAGCTCCTCAGCAATCACACTGTACTTCTGCTGGTCAAATTTGGATATGGCCAGCTCATCCTGGGGGTAGGCCATGCCCTCAGGGTAGCAGTCCTTTGGCACTGGGAACTCAATGCGCTGCAGCTTGGGGAGCTCACAGAGTGCAGCAAAGAGGCTTCTGAGGGCACGGGCAGACAGGGGATTCCCCAGGAACTTGAACTCCTGGAGCTGGCTGCAGGGGCTCAGCCCCAGGGTCATCATGCCCACGTGACTGTCTGAGATGCTGCAGTCCTCCAGCGTCAGTACCCTCAGTGTCTGGGCTGCCTGGCGTAGCAGCCTGAAGAAGGTTGAGGGGTGAGAGTGGACCAGGTTGTGTCCACTGAGGTCCAGCACCTCCAGGTGGGTGGCATGGGCACAATCTGCCAAGAAGGCCATGTCTGCATGGTTCAGGGCACAATTGGCCAGGTCCAGCACTCGCAGTGGGGTCCTGAGGGGGCTGGGGGAAAGGCAGAAAATAGTACAGGTGAGAGGAAGGTCCTAGGTGAGCTGGAGGCCATGGTGGATGAGAACAATCATTGCTTTTATCTCTTAGGGGGGCCGCAAACCATAGCCCATAGTGCACATTCAACCACTGTGGGATTTAATATAGTCTGAGCTGAGAATGACTTTGATATCTTTAAATAGTTAAAAAAAAATCAAAAGAACAATTTGCAACACATGAAAGTTACATAAAATACAAATGTCCATAAATGGTTTTCTTGAAGCACAGCCTGGCTCAGAATTATCTGGGCTGCTGTGCCTGCCACACGGCCACGGGTCCACTTTGTCATAGCACCCAGAATGGCAGATTTGCCAACAAACCCTGCAGGTTCCCTGTGGAAGTGCAGCATGTGGTCATGTCAGGAATGTCTGCTCAAAAGGCTTACTGTTGGGGCAGTGAAAAAATTAGTGAGAAAGCAAATGCCATCTTGCTCTAATAATGATGAAACTCAGTCTTGGAGCTGGGAAGGGGACCCTAGAGACCTGACATGGGCTCCACATCCCTGAATCACTAATTTTGACTTAGTTGGCTTGGCAGCCATTATCAGCAAATGGGCAGCCGGGGAAGGACTGTGGAAGGGCTCGTAAGGATGCACATTCTTGGGCCACCACCCTCGAGGGCCCTGGGCCTGTCCTTGCTCAGTGAGGCAAGATGTCCCCAGGGCTCCCTCTGCTGAGGCTGCCACCCACTGCCTACCCATACCCGGGTCTCCATCCAGCCTGCCTGGCCTGCCTGTAACAGGACAGCACTTCTACACGGAGGCCACTGGACTATGTCCCTCCTATGGCAGAGCTGCGGAAATGGAGACCCATGGCCTCCACCACTTGAGGATCCCATATGCCAAGGAGCCCAGGCCCACAAGGGATTGGCACATCCACCTTCCAGACCTTCAGAGGAGGCTGCAGCTGCTGCTGATAGCTGACTACAACCTGGAGCCAAAGTCTTCCTGCTGAGCTGTGCTCCCACTCCTGTCTGGTCAGGTTTGCTGTTTTAGAATCTGGAACAATAGGAACCACAGGATGCACCATAGTCCCTCTGCCTTGCTAACTTGCTAGTGAGTGAGCTCTCTTTTGCTCACTGGAAACAGTCCTCCATCATCCTTCCTAGTGGTCATAACTGCTGCTCTACCTGCTTTAGCAGCCCCAGGAAGCTGGTGGCCTTGTGAGGAAGCCACTCCTGTACTCGGTCCCTAGTTCCTCCCCTGCAGGGCCTGACTCACCCAAGCAGCGTCCGGATCTTCCCTGTCAGCGAGGAGAAGGCCACACTGAGCTCAGTGAGCTGGGTCATGCGGCTCAGCTCCCAGGCGATGGCGGCAAGGAGGGGGTCCTGGCCCTCAGGGGCTGGGGTGTAGTCAGGGGGAGCATCAAAGGCCTTGGTGGGTAGAGTGAGTGAGGCCAGCCGGGGAAAGCCTACCTGGGCCAGCAGCTGTAGCACGTGACCAGCGTGCAGCCGCACATTGTGCACCACCTCTAGCTTGCGCAGTGCAGCTGGCCCCACCAGGCCCAGCACAAGCAGGAGCTGCCCAGGGCTCAGGCTGTCTGCTCGGAATGAGCGGCATCGCACTTGAAGAGGGGCAGGGCCTCCTGGCTGCAGAGCCTGCACCACTGCCTGGAAGTTTCCGTCAGTTACAAAGAGGTCGGCCAGGACCTCAATGGGGTGCCCGGCCACACAGGGCTGTGCCTGCAGCTCACAGCAGGTAGTGGCCAGCAGCTGGGTGCGGCCCCACCTCCCCAGGACCCTCCCACAGGGACACCGCTGCTCTTGCACATCCCGGATGCCTGTGAGGTCTGCCAGCTGCAGCCGGCAGCTCCTACCCCGCAGCACGTGGTCACCCAGGCCCTGAATGCAGGCCTCCAGGCAGGTCCTGCAGGCCCGGTCACGCAGGTCCTCCGGGTCATCAGTGCTGGGCCCCAGCAGCACGGCCAGCCGGAATTCCTCCAGGGGCCAGGACCCTAGCACAGCTCGGGTCACTTCCGCCTGCTCCAGCAGGTAGCTGGCCTTGAACAGGAGTGGGTAGAGGTCGTAGGCCATACTGTCCAGGCTGTCCTGGGCCAGCAGGGGGTGGGAAACTAGGGCTTCTGCGGCAATGAAGCGGAGCGACCTCATTGTGCCCTGAGCTGAGGCAGTATGCTCTCCCCTCCAGCCGGCCGTGAGACTTGTGCCCTTTATGCCTATTTTTAGCTGCTGCTGCTGGGAGCAGCTTGGCTTTGGGGAGAAAGTGATGAGCTGCCCTTGCAGTCATCTGACTGATATTTTGGTCCTGGGGACGCTGCTTGGCCCTGACCTCAGGGCTGTCTGTCTGGTGTGGTAGCCAGCTGTCAAAAGCAGAGCTGCTGGGCTCCAGTGCTCTGAGGAGGGCTGGGTAAGGGGCCTGAGCTCAGGGTGTTTGTGCACGTGGCTGGAGGCCTGGCCACTGTCTATGTTGATCATCTGGCCTGACTCATCCCAGTCCCAGGGAAAGAGGGTGGCCCTGGCCAGAGCTGTACTAGGGCTAATGGGAGTCACTTTCCACAGTAGCCTTTAGGGCCTGGACTTCTCCCTTTTCCTTATACTGGGCAATCAGGAACATGGGACCAGGATTGAAGGAGGCAGCTCGGATAACTGTCCTGGTTTTTAAAAAAGGCTACACCGGCCCCATGAGGCTACCCCCTTCCTGTAGGAGACATCCCTGCCCAGTACTAGCGGGCTATGAGTGGCACATGCTTTTGCCTTCCCTAACTCGGCTATATTGTTTTATATCAAGCGTCAGACTAAAGCCCTGCATGACTCAAACGGGCATGTCAGCTAGCAGAGTCGGGCAGGTATTGCTCCTTTGCTAATGGCTGTCATTGAGGCCTAAGTCCTGGTCTGTGAAGTGGCAGGGGCCTGCTGAGTTACTTGCAGCTGAGGCCAGCATGACCCCAATTAAAATCCTTCCCCCTGAATTATCGCTTCTCACTGACCTTGTGGGTCATTTGCTAATTGTTCCTGGTCCCAGTGCAGGTTTCTTCTATTCTAGGAAGATAAGCAGTGCTGACTCCTTGATAGGTCTGCCTGGCCCCTCCTGCCAGGTGTTTGGCAGTAATTCACTAGATGCCTTCAGAGCTCCCTAGCTCCCTACTGTTTCTCGGAATTTTATTCAATCGATGTTGGATGTGCTGGGGGGCTTTTGTCTTTTCTGCCATTAGCAGCACTGACCAGGACCCAAGACTCAGCTTCACTGTAAGTCTTGTTTCACCTATTCTTTAACCTTCGCCGGTGCTGTAGTGGCTCACAGGAGGCTGGGACCTACTGCAGGGGTCTCCGGTGATGTTCACTTCCCCTGACCCTTTACATCTTCCCTTTGCCTCTGTCTTTCTTGAAGCTTGGCAGATTGTGGCTTCCTGTGCTGTAGGAGGGAAAGACCAGTTTCTCCATTGTCAGGAGCAATGCTACATAATTTTAGGGAAAAACCATTTGATTAGGCCTAGTTCTTCTGCCTATAGGCCAGCTATGGCATTGCAAAACATAATTCCATTTTGGCCTCCGGTCACAACTGAGACCTCAATGATTCTGTGAGGCTGTGATGCTCCAGGGCAAGATTACACCTGCAGGAGACACCCTGAGAGGAACCAAATCTTCATCTGCATAGTTCCTCATTGTTCTTGGATCCCCGCCCCCCAGTCTTTTGTTACACCTTGTTTATCCCAATGTGAGGTACTGAACTCTCTGCATTTCCCTTGTTACATTTTTTCTCCCCAGTTACTGGGTCTTTGTCTTTGCCGCCCAGAGGAGCACTGATCAGACCCAAAGCTCAGCTTCTTCTCAGTCTCATTTTTCTGCCTTTCCTGTAATTCGGTGTGTACTGCTGTGGCTCGCAGGAGACTAGGACTCACTGCCGAGGTTCTGGTGATGTCCCCTTTCCCTGTTCCCTACACTCCATAGGCTGGAAAGGCAGGCAGAGGACAGTGACTGTAGGTAGATAGTGTACCTGAGGGCTGTGAGCTCTCCATCCTGGCACTGTGGGTGTTGAATGACTGAATCTGTTGCCTCAGTGTCACCATCTTTTGGGCCAGGTAACACACTTGGCTGAAAGTCCAGAAGGCGCAAGCTGTATGGGAGGACAGGGCAGAGGAAGGGAGGGAGGGAGAGGAGGCAGGAGCTTGCAGTAGGGCGTGAGGGGGTGTGCTGCCTGTGGGAGCCCCCAGCCCACGCCTGAGCCCCCTCCTTTCCTGTCCCAGGGTGGCCATTGACAAGAGGGAAGGAATTCTTTTCCTGTGGTGAGGCCCTGGCACTGGCAGGCAGTGGGACTTCACCCTGATGTCACCTAAAAGCATGACCACTCTGGGCCAGCTGTGTGGACTGGGCAGATGCTAGGATCACCCTCCCTCAAGACATGCAGATGATGTCCCCGGACACAAGGCCTGTTTCCAGGGCCAAATAAGACATCAGGAGGATCGGGGAGAAGAAAATCCCTATTTAAAAATAAATCCCCATTTATGTTTTAAAAGTCTTGAACAAGTCAGAACTGAGCAAAGGGAACAACCGACAGCTGACAGCCACTGGTAGGCAATCACATCACTGGCTCAGGGAAGCAGCTCCAGAGTCCTGCTCATGTTGGGGGCTCAGGCCTGTGCAGTCCCTCTGTATTTTTCCTTCTTTGGGCCAGAGGTGGTCCTCTTGGGCCCTGAGGCCAACAGCTCGATGGAACCCAGCTACAGGGTACAGGGGTGATCTGTGCCCCAAGACTCCCTCAGACCTGACTTAAGTACTGCTCTCCTGACAGCACCTGACTTGTTACAAAGAAAGTGAACCTGAGATTTCAGTTATACTCAGAGTAGACCTGCATGGGAGATGCACCCTAGGGGGCCACCCTCCTCCTGGGCACACTGGTCTGGAAGCTCATGTGGCCTCCAGGAGGGCTTACCTGGCTCCAAGGTGCCCTGACCCTCAGGGCTCCCACCAGGGCAGCATAGGGAGTGTGGAGGAGGACAGACATCAGGCTGAACCAGGCAGAGGATATCCTGGGACCATGTCCAGGCCTGGCGACTTCCTCCATGCTTACTGATCACCTCTGCCTGGAGGAACTGTGCCTTGTCCACACTGGCCAGAACCATTGAAGGGACATGTCTGCTATGTCCCACAGGCCTCTCTGGCCCCTCTCCCCATAAGGCCACAGCTGCCTACCTAGCATGTCGTGATTCCCTGCCCAACCTCTTGGACCCTGAACTTGCATGACCAGGCTCAGGACAGGGAAGCAGGGGCCAGAGTGCTGCTGTAAGCTGCATCCTGGCCTGAAGAGGTCAAAGGCTCTTCCTGTAGCCCCAGAGCCAGGGCAGTTTGTGAAGGGCTTCCCATACAGAAAGGTGTTTGGGCTCGAAACACACCATTTTGTTGTCCACTGGAGCTGGGGACATGGTGTATCTGCCTGTGTCTGTGTCTTTCTCAGCATGTCCTTGTGTCCTGTCTGATGTGTACAATGGAAGGTTTTTTTTTTTTTTTTTTGCAATGGAAGTTTTTAGGTGATTTGTGGAAGGGCTCCCGACTCCACAGACACATGGCAAGTTTGAGCTGCTGGCAACATTTTCTTCTGAGTCTCCATGGTAGGTCAAGCAAAGGGTGCGCCTGTCCCTGCAGGAGGTTCTAGGTCTGCATCCTGGGGGAGGTCAGAGCCTTCCATCCTGAAGACCTGTGCACTGGCAGCTTGGCCTTGGTCTGGGAGGCACAAATAACGGTGCTGGACAGTGGTTCGGGGAGCTGTGTCCTTGTGGACAAAGCCCTGGCTGGTCTCTCATGGGCATTGGCACCCAGGGCTGCACATATCACCATGGCTGGCCTAAGTCAGGTGGCAGATGACACTGAGGGCCAGGGAATGTGGCCCAGGTTGGGAGCAAGTGTGCATGGGCTCCTGGTGCCCCCGGAGCTGCTCCTGACAGGCTTCCCTGGCTGACCTTCCAGCGAGCCTCCTGGGAAGATGACTCCCCAGGGCCCAGGCCAAACCTCCCTATTGACCCACCAGAAACAACTACACAGTTCTCTCGCAACACGTTTGTCACAGGGGCTGCTGTCAGGCAGGTGGAGGTGAGGATGCTGGGACTGACTTGGCTGGAAGGTGGATGTCCAGGGGCCCTGTCGTTGCCCTGGAAGCATCTGGAACGAGGTGACAGCAAACCAATCAGGCAGGGATTCAGAGAACATGGAAGAGACCATTAAGCAGACCATTTTCCCTGTCAGCTGCAGCCTTGTGTTGGGCCTGAGAGGTAGGGTTGGTTCTGCCAAGAGACATGACTGCTTGGTGCAGTGCTGCTGGTGATCACGAGAAACCTGGGGACCCGGACCATGGAAAGAGCTGCTCCTCCAGACTTGGCGTCAGCACACCTCCAAAACAGCCTCCCACCAGGTGCTCATGTCATCCTGAGAGGAAAGAGGACTCTTTATGGGGTGGCAGTGGCAGTGGGCTCCTCCCCACTTCACCCTCCCAAGTTGTCTTGCTGCTGCCTTCATGGTGATGCTGGGTGCAACCCCAGCTGGGTCTCAGGTCTCTTGGGCTCCCTCGGTCCTCAGTTGGGATGGGGCAGGGACAGGCTGTCCTCCTGCCCTCTGGGGGTAGAGCTACCCACATTGCCCAGAGGGAGACCCAGGGAAGGCTGGGCCTGTCTGGTGCTATGGACATCCTAGGAAGAGCCAGAGCTCCAGGTGCGGTCCTCCTTCTTCTTCCTAAGGCCTAGCTTAGAAACCTCCTCATTGCAAAAACAACAACAACAAAAAACCTCCTCAGCTGATCACCTCCCATTGTCCACCCAGGACTGTTGGGGTCTAGCCAGAAGGCTGGTGTTCAGGTTAGCCCGGAGTGTGAGGTACTGGCTGGACCAGCCCATCAGCCATAACAGCCTTTGGAGGTGAGGCTGGGGAGGAGGTGAGACTCCCTGATGCTCGGAAGCCCGTCCTGAGGACTGGCCGCCGCAACCTGATTTAGGGAATTGCTTTTGGTTAGCTGGCCTCAGTGGGGCAGGAAGAAGCTGCTGGCAGCACAGTATGACATGTGCCTGTGCAAGCAGAGCCCCTCGCACACCACCACGCAGGACCAGAAACCATCCACCTGGGCCGAGCATCGCTCCTAGGCACCTGACTGCACAATGTCAGGGCCATGACTCTTACAGCTGCTCTTCAGCCCTGACCCCACAGC